TTACGATTTCCTTCCCTTATACGCCCCATCACAGACACCCTGTGAAGTAGGTGAGGCTGAGAGAACTGCCCTTGAGAGAACAGCTCTTATCAGAACTATAGCTTGCCCAAGGTCATCCAGCAGCTGCGAGTGGAGGAGTGGCGAATAAAACCCGGTTCTCCCAGATTAGAGTCCGCGCACTTAACCACTACACCAAGCTGAACCTCCACAGAAGGACCTACAGAAAAACCACACTGATGTCAACTGGATGTCAACTGAGGTGCATGGGAAATACAAAGAAACTGCAAACCTTCTAAGGATCCGAACACATTACATACCGATTTCCTCTCTTGCTTCAGTTCTTGCACATAGCGAGCTAACTCCGTGGTGATCTGCGAGGTCATGTTCTCGGAAATGACTTCGTGCTGCCCGGCGTAATCATTCATTTCATTCAAAGTGGCTAAGAAGGCTTTACAGGATGAATATCTGCAAGCCGCAAAGATACACAAAGGAATTGGTTGATTTTTTGGAAAAAAATGATTGCCGGAGAAGCCCCTCTCTCACCAGAAGTCGCCAAAAGGCTGACAACCCTGCCGGCCTCCAGGGAGGAGATTCTGCCCAGGAGTTGGGACTGCCTCACCTTCGACCGCTGGAGCAGGATTTTCTGAATATACTTTTTAAATTCTACACTCCCCCCCACACACACACACCCCATGGATTGTCCCTGTATAGGTTGGTTAGAAACCTACTTGTATTCATCTTCTTCTTTGGAGTTCTTCTTGGGCTGATATTTCTTCGAAAGATTCCTAAAAATGAAAGAGAGAGAGAGAGAGAAGGAAAAAGTAATGAATCTCATCATCGTATTTTGTGGGAGAGCAAAACAGAAATGAATGGAAGAGTTCATAATTCATGTGAACATCTCCACAGTGTTGGGGGCTGCCACCACTAAAAGCAGCAGGATTAGGCATGCCTTTGGGTTCTGATACTGGCCCGGGACCTCCCCCCCCAAAAAAGTACTGTTGTTTTCACCAGAGGTCATTTTGGGGGGGAACACAGTTCCCCCGGGTGAGGTGCAGGGGGGCGGGGCACATGACGAAGCCCCGCCCCCTGCTTCCGGCCGCCCCGCTTCCGGCCCTCATTCAGCCAGGAGGAGGCAGGAGAAGAGGGAGGGTAAGTTGCTTCCTCCCCACCTCTCCCCACCCCTGCCTGCCTGGGGCCAGGGAGGGCCTTGGCGGGGCTTCCTCGCACTCCTGCTGGCCTTGCAGGTCCACCGCCGGGGCCCTGATGTCAGGGGGTGTGGCATATGCTAATGAGTTATGCTAATGAGTTCCCCTAGCTCTTTTTCTACGAAATGACCCCTGGTTTTCACTATTTAAAACATCTACCTCATTTGACTGAAGCACCCAGGCTGTTAACAGATCATTTCATAACCACCCAAGAAATAAAATTCAGTAAAGGTACCACAAAACCCAACAGAGGCCAACACCTGTAAATCCTGTTGACATGAATGGAAATCAAGTAACAGAAAGAAAAAACACAAGGAAAGCTGCAAAAACATGCACTTATATAATTACAAAAATAGATATATATTCATTCACACCAAGTGAAAAAATACAAAAGTTTATAGTATTCTGAAACAATCAGAACAATTCATCTCATTAGACAGTGTAACAGGTAAGTAAAACCATAACGGTATGAGTTGTTGACGAAAATCTCCAGAGTTCAAATTCCGTTTTGAAGAGACTTCCTCTTAACGTCATCAAACTTTTTAAGTGGCAACAAACAACAAGATGTTTTCTTTGGTTTCCAATAAGTATTCATTCCAAACTGTTGGTATACTGAACCATGATCTATAGAAATCTACTTGTAGATCATGGATCATGATACCAACAGTTTGGAATGAATATGTGTATTTCCACCCCTGGCATGAGGCCTGCACCGCAGAGAGGCAGGAGAGGCAGCTGCTTCAGGTTAGGAATCACTTGCCAGCCACAAGCCCCGGGGGCTAAAGGCCTCACCCTGGCTCCTGAAATACGGGAGAGGGTGCCATGTTTGGTCTAATCTGGAGGAGCCGAGTTTGATTCCCCACTCTTCCACTTGCACCTGGCTTATTCATTCCAAACTGTTGGTATACTGAACCATGATCTATAGAAATCTACTTGTAGATCATGGATCATGATACCAACAGTTTGGAATGAATACGTGTATTTCCACCCCTGGCATGAGGCCCGCACCGCAGAGAGGCAGCTGCTTCAGGTTAGGAATCACTTGCCAGCCACAAGCCCCGGGGGCTAAAGGCCTCACCCTGGCTCCTGAAATACGGGAGAGGGTGCCATGTTTGGTGTAGTGGTGAAGTGCCCGGACTCTAATCTGGAGGAGCTGAGTTTGATTCCCCACTCCTCTACTTGCAGCTGCTGGATGACCTTGGGCAAGCCGTAGTTCTGACAAGAGCTGTCCTTGAAAAAGAGCAGTTTCTGTCAGAGCCCTCTCCGCCCCATCTGCCTCACAGGGTGTCTGTTGTGGGGAGGGGAAGGGAAAGGAGTTTGTAAGACGCTCTGAGACTCCGAGTGAAGGGCGGGGTATAAATTTAATATTCTCCTCCTCCACATTGGAGAATGGTGCTCAGAAGACCCCCGGGCAGCATGTCAAGAGATACCTCACAGGGTGTCTGTTGTGGGGAGGGGGAAGGGAAAGGAGTTTGTAAGCCGCTCTGAGACTCCGAGTGAAGGGCGGGGTATAAATTTAATCACCTCCTCCTCCACATTGGAGAATGGTGCTCAGAAGACCTCCGGGCAGCATGTCAAGAGAGCCACCGGTGGCTCCTGAGTTGGGTAGCCAGGTCCCCCTCCCCGGCCACCAGCATGGGGGGCAGTTAGGGTTGCCAGACTGAGGTCGGGAAACTCCTGGAGATTTGGGGGTGGCCCCTGGGGAGGACAGGGACCTCAGGGGGGACATAAGGCCACAGAGCCCACCCTCCAAAGCATCCCTTTTATCCGGGGGAACTGATCTCTGTAGTCTGGAGATGAGCTGTAATTCTGGGGGATCCCCAGGTCCCACCTGGAAGCTGGCAACCTTACTCCAGAGCCAAAGAGTAAGTATCATTTAATTAGGAGCTGAGATTCTAACCTGGATAGCCCTGGCAAGCCCAATCTTGTTAGATCTCGGAAGCTAAGCAGGGCCGACCCTGGCAAGTACTTGGAAGGGAGACCTCCAAGGAATACCTGGGCTGGGAGGCAGGGGCAGACAATAGGAAGCCACCTCTCTGAAACGTCCAAGCCCAACTAGGGGTTGCCAGAAGTCAACTATGACTTCCAGGCATACACAAATACAGACACACAAAATACTCACCAAAAAAAGAAAAGAAAGAAACTTGCTGGGTGACTTCGGGCCTTTCTAGAGTTGCCAGGTCTTCCCACCCCAACAAAGAGTGGTGGTGGGGTAAGGTTGCCAACTCCAGGTTGGGAAACTCCTGGAGATTTAAGAGTGAAGCCTGGGAAGGACAGGGACCTCAGTGGGGTACGTAATGCCACAGAGTCCACCCTCCAAAGCATCCATCTTCTCCAGGGGAACAGATCTCTGTAGTCTGGAGACGAACGATAATTCTGGGTGATCCCCAGGTCCCACCTGGAGGCTGGCAACCCTAGGCCATCACACACTGTCAGGCTAGCCCACCTCACAGGGTTCTTGTGCAGACAGAACGGAGGAGAAGGGAACGATGTCAGCCACTTTGGGGTCCCCACTGGGGAGGAAGGCTGGGTATAAACGAAATGCATAAATTCTTCTCTTTCAAATCTGTCCTTGGATTTTTGCGTTTCAAACTACCTGGCGGTGTTCTGAAGGGGAAGTAAGGCATTAGGGATCCTCCATTGTTCCGCTTTTCATTTCCATATTTTGTACAGAGCATTGTGCATGGGCCACTTCCACCAGTTTTCAGTTCCCTCAGTGCATACGCAAACACATCCTGCACTATTGTATTGATGCTCACGCATGCATTGATAAAATGCTGCAACGAAGCAATCTTGATGCCCTTGAATATACACCAGTATCTTGATGCAATCATATGAACGATTGCCTCAAGAGGGCTTTTGTGCTGTATTTTAGCAGCATGCAGAACAGAACGGGGGGGGGGGGGGGGAGATGCACTAAAAGGAAGGAAGGGAGTGCTGTCACAAATTGCACATGCTCCAGTCTGGGAATTACTTTTAGAATCCTCCTAGCTAAATCCTCCTAGATAGATCAGAATTAAAGCCGAGTGAAACAGAGTGCAGAGGGAATTCCCAGGATGTTAAAGGAAGAGAACAGGGGCATATCTGCCTAGTCCAGCAGCAGCCTATAGTAAGAAACTTAAACTTGGAGCTATGTGCATGCCACAAATCCATACAAACACAGAAAGTATCGATCGAAGGTTATACAGCAAACCAGGATTCTTTATAAGAATCTCAGCTTTCTCTCACCTACTCCCCCCCCCCAATTTCTTTATTTTATTTACTAAAACATTAATATTCCACCTTTCCTCATGGTTCAAGGCTACTTATGGTAACAGCTAAAACAAATTTTCAGTTAAAACAAAAGCAAAAATAGCAAGTTCCAAACCTCTCCTCCCTGCCTTTCCGACGGTGGAGATACTCTTCACTGGGCTGTCTAAATAAGATATCCAGACTTAGGGTTGCCAGCTTTGGGTTGCAAAACGCCTGGAGGTTTGGGGGGCAGAGCCTGGAGAGGGCAGGGATGGGGGATGGGGGGGGACTTCAGTGAGGCATAGTGCCATAGAGTCCACCTTTCAAAGGGGCCATTTTCTCCAGGTGGACTGATCTCTGCTGCCTGGGGATCAACTGTAATCCCAGGAAATCTCCAGCCACCACCTGGAGGCTGGCAACCCTAGCTGGGGAAGAGCTTCTTTACCCCTCAGAATTAATTATGCAAAAAAAGTAAGCATATGCAAAACTAGCTTCATTTGCATGATTTTTGCAAACTGTAATTCCGGTGCTGAATTCAGAACTGTTCGAAAGCACACTTTAAAAAGTCTACCGGGCCCTGTTGTCTAGCAGGAACGTTTCCCCGGCTTTCCCCAGTGTCTGGCAGAGCCTTTGTCTATGCAGCCTGGATAACCCATAAATCTCTCTTCTTTTTTACAAGGCTCCAAAGGAGAGAACTTTAAAAGCAAAGAAAAAGACAAGACAGAACAATTTATTGCGCAGAAAGCACA